GGCTTCGGGTGATGATTTCCCAGTGCACTGTCCGTGCTGGGCTGCCTGAGCTTCGGGGAGCCAAGCTGTGCCAGCCAGGCTGGAACGGAGCCCATGGGGTCCCGAGCCAGCGTGGTGCATGGGTGCCAGTGGGTGCTGCTCCTTCTCCCCGCTGACAGCAGGCGCTTTCTCCCTGCGCTGTAGCTGTGTGCCCCTCAGACCTCCAGCAGCTCTGGAAGGAGGTCACGGCCGCCCAGCCCGTCGAGGACAGCATTAAGCAAGAAGGTCTCGACCTCACCACCAACACCTCCAACTCTACCTCGTTTTCGGCCGCCAAGGTCTCGCCTCCCATTTCCCATCACCCTCTGCCCAATGGACAGAGCACCATGCACACGCCAAGAAGGGACAGGTAGAGCTGGGTCGGGCCCTGGCACTTCGTGTTTTTACCCCCGGGGAGGTGGAAGGCACCGGGATCTGTCGCCTGTGGGGCTAGCAGCAGGGTTGGAAGGGCTAGGGGTTTTTTGCCCACCGCATAAAGAAGTCCTATCGCTGTTCTGCTGTGCCTGTGTGCCCATGGAGGGCAAGGAGCCGTCGCTGTGGGGTCTCCCATGGGTCCCCGAGGGCTGGCCCCGTGCACGGGAACGCCGAAGCATCGCGGCTGCCCCATCTGACAGTCCCTTTCCGTCTGCTGCAGCTCTTCCCATGAAGAGACCCCCAGCTCCCACCCGCTCTACGGCCACGGAGAGTGCAAGTGGCCCGGCTGCGAAACCCTCTGTGAGGACTTGGGACAGTTTGTCAAGTAAGTGCTCCCCTTTTTGGGGAAGGTTTTCCTGGAGGAGGGGAGAGCCTGCACACTCGGACTGGGACAGCATGGGGCTGGTGGAGGGGGCTACCCTGGAAATGGGTCTGGACACCCCAAAGTCTGTCTGCCCAGAGCTGGGGGGGCCCATGCAAAAGGAGAGAACAGCAGAGATTGCTGCTAGAGGAGAAGAGACCCGATGCAGCGGGCAGGAGCAGGCAGCAGGCGAGGGGAGCTTGCAGCTCCCCTCCTGGGGGGCGAGAGGAGGGGAGGAAGCAGATGGCGGCGGCACCCGCTGACACCGCTTGTGGGCTCCGGCGCTGACTGATTAACTCCGCTGTTGAAGAGCCCTCTGCTAGCGTCAGGGTCAAACAAATTGTTTTCACGCTTCGTCAGAGGTTTACTTAATTAGTTCATTTGCAATTAGATCTCTTTGTAGCCAGGATTTTTAGCAAAGACATCAGAAGGAATTGACGGGCTTGCTTGCTCCTTCCCCCCCCCGCCTCCCCCCCCCCCCGCCTCTCCGGCTGTCTGCTCGGCGCGGCGGCCGAGATGCACCGACGCGCGCTTCGCTCTCCGTCGGCGAGATTTTGGGTTTTTACAAACTGACTCCGTCTGCTGCGGTGCACTCGGGGCTGGCTCTGGTGGGAGCATCCCTCGGACCGCACTGGCCTCCTTGTTCCTGGGGAAGGAGCTGGGCAGAGGCCTTGCATGGGAGGATGAGGAGGTGCGAAGGCAGCCTGGGGAGGCTGAGGGAGCGTTGCCTGGTTGAGCGAGTGAATGAGTCAGGCTCCTGTGTCCTCCTTCCTCTGCCTCTGACTCACGGGGTGAACCTAGATAAGGCATCTCCTGCCTCTCCAGGCATGTTCACATGGCACAGGGCAGATGAGCAAGCTCCGGTTTGGAAGCTGGAGCTGGGGTGGGCAGGGGATAGCCGGGGCTGGGTCGTGGTGCCAGGAGAGCCTTGCCATGCCGGCCAGGGCTGTAGGATCCGTGCGTCCCGCCTGCCTGGCCCCCCTAAGCACACCTAGTGCTTGCAGGAGCGAGCTTCCCGAGGGGCAGCTTCCCCGACAGCACTAGTGAAGTATTTCTGTCCCCTCTCTGCCAACGTGAGCACGTGTCGGGGTGTGGGACAGACAGACGGAAAACTTCCAGCTCCCAAAGGCTGAGTCCAGCTGCAGCGTGGACCTTGCTTTGAGTCCAGGCACCGGCTTCCAGCCTGCTCTGAGCATCACCTCCATGGAGTAGCTCGGAGAGCCTCAGCGTTGGGGTAGAAAGGGGCAGCGCATCCTTTGAGCACTGGTTTATAAAAGCCTGTGAGGGTCGGTAGGAGACGTCTCCGTTCCCACTCAGCGCAGCCCGGGCTCTCGATAGATTTTTCCCTGGAGAAACGGCCGTGCCCTCGGTCTGCCGTGCGGGGAGAGGAGCAGGCAGCTCGGTCCAGCTGCAGCCCTGCGGAGCGGGGCTGAGACACTGGTGGGGTTTGCTCACATACAGGCTTGGCAGCGGGTCCCAGTTACCTAACTTGTTTTTGCAAGTTGGGGCTGGAAGTCTCTCGCAAACAGCTGGGTGAGACTCCTGCCGTCTTCCGCATCCGGACCGAGGGTAGATACTCCTGAGGCACCTTCCCCAGGGGTGTCTCAGCAGAAATATCTCAGTCTTGGTCCTGGCGAGCATTGGCCCATGGCTGTGGGGCACCTATGTGTTTCCCAGCATCGGATGCCACCTCGCGGGGTGTTTCCGGGGCGGCCCCGGTACAGTTTGCCCTGCTGCCCAGCATCCCCCCTCCGACCTGTCCCACTCCTGAGGACCCCCCTGGTTTGCACCCAACCCAGCAAGGACATGGCCCAGCCATGCAATGTCTTCAGGGCTGGGTGCGTCCCCAGGCTGCCACTTTGCTGGGTCCGGGGGCGAGGACCCCCACAAGGCAATGCCGGGATGTCCCTGGCTCTGCAGCGAGTGGTGTCCCCGTCACCGCCTGCTTGCCTCCGCCGGGAGCCCTTCCCAGGAGGAGGGAGGGTGGCAAGGACCAAAGGTCCTTGTGTTTTTAAACAAACATAAGGCATGAAAGCGGTAGGATGAGGAGCACCCTGGAAATGCGTTTGGGAGTTTCCTTAGCGGGTGTAAGTAAACCTCCATAATGCCGCCTTTGTCCTGGAAACCTGCTCCTCAGGTCCTCCTGGGCGCTTTCTGCCAGCAGCCTTCTCAAGGACTTTCCATCAACCAGCAGCTGCTCCTAAAATGCTGCGGGGCTGCCAGGGGCAGGGCTGTGTTGTCTACGGCCGCCCTCCAGCTGGGTTCAGGCAGGAGGCACAGCACAGTTTGCTCGGCCGCCTTCGTGCCTCAGTTTCCCTTCTGCTCGTCACGCTTTGGGCAGCAGTGCCGGAGCATCCCCAGCACGGGCAGCGCCTCACAGGCATCCCTGGGCGTTGCTGCGGTACAGGCGGTTGCAGGTCGGGGCCGATCCCAGGTGTGGCCCCGTCAGAGGGGCTGCGTTTTGGGCACGTCTGGGCATAAACTCCCGTGTTCTTCTCCCCAGACACCTCAACACAGAACATGCACTTGATGACCGAAGCACGGCCCAGTGTCGAGTCCAGATGCAAGTGGTACAGCAGCTGGAAATACAGGTGGGTACCTCCCCAGCCTCGAAGGGTGCGCATTTAAAAAGCCGTCTCCTTTCCAACTCTGCGTGCCGTGTCTTGGCTGCTCTCTGCAGGAGGGAAGTAGCGAGGTTGGGGACTACTAGCAAGACAACTAGCCACCCCGGCGCGCAGGGGCTCATTTTAAGCATCCTTCCCAAATAGGGGTGCTGCCCCTGGCCAGGCAACGGTCCTGATGCAGATAAAGACCTGGAGGACCCTCCAGCTGGTTCCCCCTCCATTCCAGCATCCCTGCGTGATTATGATGGGGCTGGAGGAAGGAAGTAGCGAGGTTGGGGACTACTAGCAAGACAACTAGCCACCCCGGCGCGCAGGGGCTCATTTTAAGCATCCTTCCCAAATAGGGGTGCTGCCCCTGGCCAGGCAACGGTCCTGATGCAGATAAAGACCTGGAGGACCCTCCAGCTGGTTCCCCCTCCATTCCAGCATCCCTGCGTGATTATGATGGGGCTGGAGGAAGGGACAGGCTGTCCCTCCTGCCCAAGGCGTCCCTGTGGGTACAAGGAGATGCCACAGGAAGGGACATGCTGCCTGGGGGGTGCGTGCCCACCGGCGGGACATGAGCTGTGCCCCCGTGCTCCGCCCCGCCGCAGCGAGAGCCACGGGGCTGCTGGGCTCTTTGGAAATCAGGCCGCTTATTTTGGTGGCTGAGCGTGGTCTTTCGAGCCCAGCTTCGGGGTGCTATTTTTGGAAAGCCAGTTCTTTAAATAGTGCCTTTCCCAGCATCTCCGACTCCCTGACGTGCCATGCGTAATTCAGTTAATAGAGAAGGGAGGGGAAAAAATGGGAGGAAACGGACGTGTTTCATCTTGGGACTTGAAAGTCATCGAGGGGGAAGGTGGGATGGGGCAGGGGTCTCGGTCAGAGACCCCGACGGCATGATGGTGCCTGGGTGCCCAACCAGGGGCTGGCAGGAGCTCGAAGCGGTTTGTGCCCGTCGCAGTGCACGGTGATGGGTATCGTCGCGGGGGACGCCGGCCCCGGGTGGCAGCGGGCCGTGACGTGCAGCAGCCTTGCAGGCTCCTGCCCGCAGTTACAATAACAGGGGCTGCGGAGTCGGGGGGGACGCAGCAAAACCTTCCCTGGGCGGGGAGGCTGCGAAGCCGCCTGGGCAAAGCTGTGCGATCGCATCCTGCTCCCCAGCCCTCGCTAAAGCGAGAGGTTGAAAGCAATTACTGGGGCTTAAAGAGGGGAGGGAGAGGAAGGGGGAAAAAAAAAGGAGGGGGGGGAAGCTGATGGGCAAGCAGAAAGCTGCATGTGCAGAGAGGAGAACCTGCCACCAGAGCTACCAATTATAAAGTTTTCAGTGCAGAGCTCCCGCTGTGCCGGCGGAGAGTGTCTGCATCACGAGGGGAGACCTGTCAGCTCTAATGAGCACCGCGACAGCGCGCAAGCATCCAAGCTGCTCCAAACTTGCAGCAAACTCCACTCTGGCTCCTGCCTTTAACTCCTTCCTCGCCTGGCTCCGGCGCCTGCCCAGGGAGGGGGCTTGGCTGGGGGGAGATGGCAGCACATGGGGACACGGCCGAGCCCTGAGCTTGAGGGATCGCAGCAGAAAGGGAAGGTGACGGGTGTCAGATCCCATCGCCTCTGCCGGGCTCAAAATCTCTCCTGGTGCCACAGTGAATGTTTCATCCTTCTCCGCACTCCGGGGAGTAAACAGGCGGGAGTGCGCAATTAAAGCGATGTTGTGCGTCCGGGTGGATGGACGGACGGACGGACGGAGGGATGGGTAGATGGACAGGGGGCTGCTGGTGAGCGGGAGGCAGCAGAGGCTGGAGGAGGGCAAGGGGGATGGGGATGGCTGGCACCGGGGCGCGGGGACCAGAGCACCCGGGAAGCAGAGCGAGGGCTGCGGCGGGTGGCCGGGACGGGGCCATGCTGGTGGATGGCAGCCTGAAGGCGTGAGGAATGACTCCGTTCCACCATAGCTTTTTC